TCCTTCTGATATTATATATAATTTTGTGTACCAGCCATGTACAGATGTGAACATGTTATGAATCACTTAGATAAAAAACTGGGCTGTTATTCAGTAAATACATAAATACATAAATACTAAATGCCAAAATAAAGAGACAATCTTCTGTATTTCAGAAAAGCTTGTCAATTTACCAGAAAGAGGCATAGACTGTGTGGTTGGGAGTAATTAGTCTCCATCCCCACATATTACAGTGTATGAGCCACTGCCAACATAAGCTTTCCATATTTTGAAATATTTTCTTCTCTCTAAATGAAACCACCCACTTTCTGAGTAATTCAGGTTTTTTTAATCCCCTACAGATATATATGAGGCAGAATAACCCTTGTCCCTAATTCCATTAGGGAATATTAGCTCATGGAAAGAAAATTTAAAATGTAGTCTACACAACTGATTATTTGATATAGCAAGTAGCATCCATCTTTGCCCCAACTTCACCTGTTTTTATGGACGAGGAGAGTTACTGCATTCTTCCAAACCATCAGTCTCACTTTCACTAAAAGGAAAAATGCACCTCAGATAAATAAAACAACTCATCCCCTAAGAATGGAAAAAGTACACTCTTAAAAAAAATATTGAAGTGTGCTGTGTGCCATTTCTAAGGGAAACAGCTATGTATCACTGTGGCCCATAGTCAGAAATCTTTGTGTAAGTTCTTAGGCATCGTTGTTTTCATTAACTGGCTCTGTGTTGCTCGCTGTTCAACACATCCCTTTCACCCCCCAGACCACTTTTTGGAGGCACTTCCCTTTCTGCTTTGATGAGGCACTATGCTTGGACCGCTTGAGCTGTTATGGGCCCGATTCATAACATACTTAGGTTTCCACAATAAGTGTTACTTTGTGCAATGCGGTTATGCAAGCTCCAACATAAAAGTGAGAAACGTGATAACTGACTGGCTTTTTATTTGTCTGATTTTGGTTTTAATATTTACAGCTTAATATCTGGGAGTATAATTTAATTTAAGTGTTTTTTAGTCTTCAGATTCTTGAGGAAAAATAGTGGGTCTTTATAAATGTGACGAAGTCAGAAAAATTAGCTGTTTCCTATTGCAAAAAAATTATGAACATCTATTTTGCATTTGAAATTGTACAGTAAAAGCATGATCAATGCACATACTATTTCTGAAGAAAAAACACCCCTGATTTGTTAAGAAAAATGTACTCTTATACATGAAATCAGATTTAGATCTTTTTAGCTGTTGATAAGAAAGTAAATGAACTCAATTGTCCCAGCATGATTAAGGCTAAACTGTATAACAATGATGATGTTCACTGCATATTTGTTTTCCTGAGACAATGCTTCTGTAGAAAGGGGTCGGAGAGAATCAGTTACATGGCATACAAAGCAAGAAAGTCAAGCAAACTGCAAATCTTTGGTATTTCTTTTTTAATAGTGCCTTAATCGAGAACAAGCAATTCAGTGGATTAAGAAAGAGAGGCTTCCAGCATTTCTGGAAAGTGACTGTTACTTTGAATACAGGTATTACAATCTTTTATGCTTTCAGTTTTAAATTAGTTCATTTTTTCTCTTCTGTTAAATTTATCTTGACAGCAATCTTAATAAATTTTCTCCCACCTCTAGGCCTGTTTGTTTAATTTTAGCATTTTAGTGACCTGGATAAAGTAAAATCAGTGACTTTTTTTCACTCATCATTTTGTAATTTTCCTTGACCATGAACTACTCATTTCTGAATCTGCGTTCCACAGAGATATCACTGTACCAATGCGTCTTTCTCTACTCAATATGTAAGCCATATAAATGGACGTTATGAATCCATGAAATCTATTTAGAAAAAAATGAGCCAGTTCTTTTTATTTCAATTACTAGCTTTGTGCCTTTGTGCCCGCTATCAAACTTCCTTTTTCAAGGTTCTCTGTGGGATGCTGTGGCATAGTTGGATGACGTACTGTTATACACTTGCTGTATTTTTCCAGATGTCCTTTCATCAGATGTTCTTCATGTTTAGTATGCTTTTTTTGAGGATCTGCCTTTACATCCCCCAAGGTTGTGTTAGATGCTGATAATTGTAGTGTGTTTCAGGCATCCTAAAAGGACTTGTAGTATGGTTCATAAGGTTCATAAGGCAGGCTTGCAGTATGGTTCTTAAAACTTGTGTTTCCTGATTGTAATAACACACAAGTTACTGGGGTATAGACTTCTACATTAAAAATTTCAAAATATTTTCAAAACTTTCAATATCCTGAAGACCGAACTTAAATTTGAACAGGGAAAACAGTGCAAAGAATAAGCAAATCATGGAAGAGTGCTCCATTTTACCTTTAATTGCAGCCTGCTTTACACACATCTGGGCCTCATGAAACACTATCTTAGATCTTCTACTATAGCAGAATATTTCTTTGGTCAAGCAGTAACCTAAGAGAATTACATAAAACTAACCTTAAGCATGTACCTAATTTCCATTGACATCAGTGGTTTAAGTAGCTTTCCTGGCTCAGGACCAAGATAAGCTGAGATGCTGAAAGGGAAATTTGAGTTTATAGATGAAGATACCTCAACCCTAGAAAAAAATCCCATCTGCCTTCAGATAATGGGGACAAATGAAATTGGGCATTCACTCATGGTCGTAGGCTCAGGCGTAGGCTTTGTTTTCCCTTCACATGCACCTTGGTTGGTTTTGGACTGCTTTCGAACTTAGCTAAGTTTTGCTCCAGTTCTTGATCCCAGAACACTCACATTATTGATGTGTGTTTCTAAGTTTGCCTTTCTGAATATCCTGAGGTTCACACTAACACAAGATAGTACTAGTGTGCTCTTCAGTCATATGATGTCCGCATATATCTGCCAGCTGAACACGATAGCGCTAGTTGTCAGTTATCATCTGAAAATTCAATTAGAATGATTGCTGCTGCAGCATCACTGCTGGAAGATTGCTTGTATCAGGAACAGGAAGTGTAGCATTTGGTGATGATACCAGACTTCTGCAATCTGGGACAATAGTTCTATTTTATCAAAATGTTTGAGGGCTTCTTGGCAGGGCTTGGGACTGCATAGATACATGCATGAGCATCCTGACAGAAATCAGTTTTACTGGTAAAGATTGATAATACAAAGCAGGCCACCATCTGTAAAGCTGGTGGACTATGGAATGGTAGTACCAGTGTTTACAAATGTGACATAATAAGGGTAAAATAATAAAGCAGATCATGAAGTTCTCTGTAACAATTTATTTGTAGATTGGTCATGGGTTTTATTGCCTATCCTGGGGAAAACAGCTTATTCTCTAATTAAAAGCTAGAATTAACTATTTTCTTGTCTCAACATTTAATTTCAGGCTAGCTAAATTGATATCACAGGTAGAATGGAGCAAGACTGGCATTAATTTCATTATTGATAGTGACTACTATCCCTGGATAAGGAAACAAGACTCAAGTCCTCCCCTTCCTGAGGAGGATGAAACTTCGTTGGCAATAAGGAAGTTCTGTATATCGCCTGACCAGGTAAAATTAACATGTTTAGTGGGTGTAACATTAAGATATATTGAATGAGCTGGGTGAAATTATTGTAACAGGTCACAATCTTATTGGACATCTGATTCTCTGAATACCCCTTATTTTCAAAGCTCTTTGTACAGTAGAAGGTTAAAGGTTTGTAATGCAGCTAAAATGCAAGCTGTGTTACAAATATGCTCAGCTACTTTCATACAGCTCTTCACTGGGAACTATTGTTACAGAAATCTACAGAGACTGCACAAAACGACTACAGATAGTAAGCTTTCTGCTCTCAGAAACACTGCAATAAACAGAAAAATATGAATTATTCTATGACATTTCTTTCTTAGGCTATGGTTTCTCAGACAAAGGATTGGTTTATGTTAGCAAAAGGAAGTGAACTCGTGAAAACTACAGATTCATTTTCACATCCTGTAGCTTCTAGTCAAATTCAGTGTTTGCCTGGACAGCGTGAAAGAGATGATACATTAAGTGAAAAAGACAGTCTTCTGGGTAAGTAACAGTGGCTTAGCCATAGTATTTATAACAGAACTCTGACTAGGTGGAAAGAAAAGGCATTCCAAGGAATTTCTGCTAACTTGTTATCTTCTGAGTACCACAAGGTATCTCAGGCTTCAGACAGGGATTTGTTTCTTTCCACAGCCACAACATTAAATGAAAATTTGAGCTAGTAACTAAGAAATTTTGTGATAGTAGAAGCCTCTTTTCTTACATATTTCTTTGTCATAGGTATCTGTAATTTTCAGCCGTTTTGTTGTTATTTGTTTGTTTTTCCATTTGATATGTTTTGGAAGACTTTCTTCATAGAATGACAGAATGGTTTAGATTGGAGGGGACCTTAAAGATCATCTAGATCCAATCTCCCCTATCCCTACCTTCTTGTCTGGATTCTTTGGGTATTTGATAGCGTATGATTGGTGTTGCAGGTATCTTCTTAGGGTATTTATGCTGGGCACTTAAAGGCCTTTGGCTGGCAATTTTTATGAATCTCACAGAGTGTAATTGTGACACTCTTATCTGTCAAATTCAACTGAAATTGTTCAG